AGGCCCAGGTCCCAGCTCCCGCAGGGGACCTGCAGGCCCGGCCAACCCAGAGGCGGCCTGGGCTCTGCAGCTGAAGATCCCGTCCCCGCCTGGGGCAGCCCACACTGCCCGGCCCTGACCCTCTGAGCAGCCTTTGTTCTGCCTCAATGGGCCATTCAGCCCCGTCTCTGGGGGACAATGGCCCCCACTGTGCAAGAAGGCAGGGCCTGTCCTGGCAGCACAGCGGCTCCCAGGTGCGCGGGCTGGCCACTGTCCCTCCTGCACGGAATCCACCAGGAGGCCACGCCCTGATGCACCCTCACCCCCACCCCCACCCCCGAGCACACCCCTCTGTAGCCCCGCGTGGGGGTGGGGACTGTCCTTCCTGCCAACCAGCACAGTGGCGCTGAATGGCCAAGCCAGGCAGACTGCGCAAAGCCCTCCCAAGCCAGACCCAGAACCTGGACTGAACAGGCCACAGGCCGCCGCCCTGCTGGCCCCAGTTACACCTCGCAGTGGTCAGTGAGGGGTGACTTTGGGTGCCGTCCACTAAGATAAAGGAGATAGACTCCCCAGCTCCGCCCACAAATGCAAATTACCCCCTGGGAAGAGCCATAGAAAACTCACCCTAACTGAGGAAATACTCGTTCCAAGCATGACTGTTGGCTCGTGGTCCATATCGCAGTGGACAGCCCCTGGCCGTGCTGCCCGTAGCTCCTTCACAGCGAATGGCAGCAGCCAGCACAACTCAGAAGGGGCTGCCACTACAAGGGCACCCCAGCCCGCGGCCCCAGCACCCCCAGCCCGCAGCCTGCGGCCCCAGCCGCCCCCAGCTGCCCCCAGCCGCCCCGTTCCTCAAGCTTGCCTGCTGCTTCTTTCCAAGGTGTTCAAGGAGCCCATCTCTGTCCACTCTATCTGCTTTGGTGGATTCACTCGCGGCTCAGCCTCCAGCCCCAGCGGCCATCTGGACTGGCCAGGTGGCTGCCCCTGCAGGGCCAGGTCTCCCCAGGGCAGCAGAGCCGGAGGGAGCCGGGCGTCAGCGGGCGCCAGCATCACCCGGGCACGAGGGCAGCAGCGAACTTCCGCTCCACACAGGGGAGGAGGCTCGGCCCGGCAGACTCAGGCGTGGATCAAAACGAGTATTTTTCATCTCTGCTGTTTGCAAAGATCAAACAAATTCGCGCGTGAACGCGGAGCGGCGGGCGGGAAAGCAGAGGTGACCAAGCACCTCGGGGGCCCCGGGGACTGCCACACGCAGCGCACGTGTGTGCTCTAGGGACCGTCTCCCCACGCATGGCAGGCGGGCAGGCTCACTGTGAAAGAGAAAGGGAGGCCGGCGCCGCGGCTCACTAGGCTAATCCTCCGCCTAGCGGCGCCGGCACACCGGGTTCTAGTCCCGGTTGGGGTGCCGGATTCTGTCCCGGTTGCCCCTCTTCCAGGCCAGCCCTCTGCTGTGGCCAGGGAGTGCAGTGGAGGATGGCCCAGGTGCTTGGGCCCTGCACCCCATGGGAGACCAGGAAAAGCACCTGGCTCCTGGCTCCTGCCATCGGATCAGCGCGGTGCGCCGGCCGCGGCGGCCATTGGAGGGTGAACCAACGGCAAAGGAAGACCTTTCTCTCTGTCTCTCTCTCTCACTGTCCACTCTGCCTGTCAAAAAAAAAAAAAAAAAAAAAAAAAGAAAGAGAAAGAGAAAGGGAAGCAACGTGACCACCACGAGGACGCCCTCCGACCTCGCCGCGGGGAAGCACTCCAGCTCCATGGAGACGCATCAGCGATGGCTTCCTGGTGGTGCCCATATACCTGCTCTCACCCTGTGCACTGACTCCAGGACCCTACCCACCCACCCCCCGCAGGGGGAGGAGCCCACAGGCCCAGCAGGGACCCTGAGTGCCCTAACCCCACCCACCAGGGAAAAGCTGACCAATGGGTGCCAGGCTCTCACCATTTCCACCAGTCACCAAAGCCAGCCTGACGTGAGTGACATCAACGAGGACCCCCGACACAGGAAAGGAACAGAAGTCCTGGGTTTTCCCACCCCGGAGTCTGGGTTGGCAGCAGGGGTCAGCGGCTGGTCTCCTGGCAATCAGCCAGGTGCCCTGGGCTTCATGCCACAGGGACTGGGCCGAAAGTGGAGGAGCAGGCGTTTTGCCCAGCAGCCAAGCCGGCAGTCCACCTCAGAGCACCCGGTCTGACCCGTCTGGATGTCACTGAGGTCCTCGATTCTGACTCACACCCTGCCCTGCATCAGCAGCCCTGGCTTAAGACTTACTCACTTCATGGTGCCAACATGGCTGCCAGCAACCCAAGGGCTCCCATGTTTTCACCACAAGAAAGGGATCGACTTCCTGCAGCTCTCTCTCCTTCCCAGAACTAATGGCCAAGTCCATCGCGGAACCAGTCACCGCAAGGGGGATGGGCTCACCCTTGGGCCAACCCAACCCAGCCGTGGCCAGAGCTCTCTGGCCAGGAAGGCACGCCAGGTGCTGCGGAGACCGGCTACCATGGCCGCCACAAGCGTGCGGATTTCACTGCGTGCCAGGCCTCTGCTAACCGCGGCCTCTCCAGCATGGTCGAGGCTCTTGTGACACGGGACACACAAGGGTGAGGGTCAGAGAAGCTGAGGGACGGCCCCTCCCGCGGGAGCCGCGCGCCCAGGTCTGACTCCGAGATGCCCACTCGAGGGAACGCTGCTCTAATTCATACCAAGGTGTGAATGACTGACAGAACCCAACCTGCCGCAAGGTTCCGGGGATTTCACAAAGCACCAGGGATTCGAGCAGAGACGCGGGGCTTGGAACCCAAAGGATGGGAAGGCGGAGAGAGGCGGAAGGCAGGTTTTCCAGGCTGGCAACAGGAGGCAGGACAGGGCTTGGGAACAGGAAGCAGGTGCGGGTGGCCGCAGTGCAGCGGCGAGCGGGGACCCAGGGACCAGGTGGAACGGGAATGTGTCCACCTGGGTCTTTTGCCAGCTGAGTCCCGGCATCAAACTCTTCCCGGAAGAAAGCTGAAACCCCACAGTGTCGTTTGCTAAAAGCCTCCATGAGCTAAACGCTGCTGGTCACCCCAACAGCCTTGGGAGCGGTCACTTTTCTGTCTCTTAACAAACTCAGAAAGGTTCAGTAACTGGCCCAAGGCTGCACAGCCGGCAAGGAGCCTGTCACTCAAAGCCGCACCCTCCCCTGTGCTCAGAGCCCCAAACAGGAGCGAACGCAGCCGGATGGAAGTCCAGGGAGGCGCTGCCGGCGACTCCGGTCCCAGCTGGTGTGTTCTCGCCTGCAGGGCAGCCAGCTCCGGCCCCAGCACCCCAGCACTCAGCGGCTTCACCTGCGCCGGCGGGTATGAAGGCTGTGAGCCCTGGAGTGCGCCCCTGGCGCACACAGGAGCTGTTACCCCAGGAACAGCCTCCATCCCCTCCGCCTCGCCAGCTCCTCACACAAACCCGGACGCCGGCCAGGCAGCATGCTCCCACGTCACAGATGGGGACACTGAGGCCCGAGGGGAAGAACCTCTCCTCAAGGTCACAGGGCGCCGTGCACAGGGCAGACTGCACAGGGGCCGCAAAGGCGCTCAGGGGAAGGAGGGAGGAGCCACCGCTGCTTGGCCCGGGAACCCTGCGCTTGGGGCTCCTGGGGCGGCTGCAGCAGGCTCTAACGTTGGAAAAGCCCACTGCGATGGCCCCGCAGCCCCAGGGTGGCGATGGTAAACAGAGGCTCCCCCCAACTCCCCGGGCGCGTGACCCCCGCGAGCTGGGAGCCGCCGCCGCTGCACACCGCAGCGCGCGCCAGGCCCTGGGGGCGCTCGCCCACCCGCAGCCCGCAGGCCTCCCCCACGCTCGGCCGGCACCCGGGCACCCGCCCATCCGCGCTCACTGTCCCCAAGGCGCGCGACACAGGGCCGCTTGGAGCTCCGTGGGCCCCGCGGCCCGGGCCGCCCTGCCCCCCCTGCACGCACACCCCGCAGGAGCGTGACTCAGCGGTTCTGCTCCGGAGCGGGGAGCGCCGCCCAGTCCCCCGCGCCGGCCCGCAGCGCCCCTGCCTCCGCTCCCGCGCGCTCTCATTTCCGCCGGACACCCCCGCCCCCAGAGCCCGCCGCCCGCGCCGGGCCCACCCAGGATCCCTGGCACAGGCGCCCACGCGCACCTCCCCCTGGGGCGCCCACCCGGGAACTCCTCGCTGAAAACCGCACACACACGGCTGCGGCCAGTCCTGCAGCCCCTGGGGAGGCCGCAGCCGGCCTCCGGTCCCGACCCCCGGCCAAGTCCCCAGCGTGAGCGCCCCCCGCCGCAGCTCGCCGCGGCTCTCCGCACCCTGCGCCCGGGCTCGCCCCGCGTGCTGTCCCCAGCGATCCCCGGGCCCCCAAGCCGCCGGGCGGCCAGCGGGGCGCCGGGCGGCCAGCGGGGCGCCGACCCGCCCGCCTCCCACCCGCCTCTGGTGGGGGTGGGGCTTGCGGGACCGACTTCGGGGTCCTCCACGCGAGGCCCGCGGGGGCTGCGGAGCAATCCCCGCCGGGTGGAAGCTCGCTGGGAATCCAGCACCAGCCCGGGCGGCCGCCTTCTCCCTCCCACGAGGGACGCTGCCTCGGCGGGCGCGGGGAGGGGCCCGCAGCCTCCCGAGGGTCCCGCACTGGGTGGGTTTCCCCCTCCCCCTCTCCTCTGGGTCCCTCTTCGTCTCCAGGGAGTGGGCAGCCTAGAAATTTCTGCGGGCGCTGGGGAGGGCCGAAATGGCCAGCGCCGGCCTCTGAGCCCTTACACGGCTCCAGGGCGTCTCCACCAGGTTGGCCGCCGCGGGGGTGGCCTCTTTTTACAGCCCCTGGCCGGGCCGCAGTCCGGGCGCCTCCCGGAGGGCGGCGCGGAGGAGGAGGAGGGCGCTGCCCTCGCCCGGCCCTCGGGCTCCCTGCCCCCCACCCCGGGCCCGGGGCACACGACACGCAGCGCGCGGTGCAAACCTTCGGAGGGCATTGGGTGCGACGGCATCCCCACGCCGCGGCCGCCGGAGGGGGTCTCGGACAACACGTACGTTACCTTCGGTCACATAGCTGTGGTCCCGCAGGAAGCTGTGGTTAATTTTCCGCGTGTCCGTGTCCTCGCCCATTGAAGGCCGTGCCCGGTGCCCTGGGCATGCCCCGCCGCCGCACACCGATGCAATCCGCAGAGGTCGCGCCGGGCTCGCGGGCCATGCCGCCGCAGCCTAGCAGAGGCGCGGGCCGCCGGGGCCCCGGGGGGTGGGCATCGCGGCCGGGGGCGGCGGGGGAGGTCTTGGGGGGTGGCGGGCGCCGCGGTCAGGCGAGCGCGCGGCGGGCGGGCGGCGGCCGCGGGTTCGGGCGGGCCGGGGCCCGGGCGCGCATCCCGGCCGGCCCGTGCGCGCTGCGTCTGTGCGCCGGCGCCGGCGGCGGTGGCCTGGTGCCCGGGCGCCCGGCAGCGGCGGCGGCGGCGGCGGCGGCAAGGGGATGCGCGCGGCGCTGCGCTGCGCCGAGCGAGCCGGGGCCGAGCCGGGCTGCGCGGGCTGGGGCGGCCGCCGCCGCCGCCGCCGCCGCAGGCCCCTCCCTCGCGCCGCCCGCTCCTCCGCCCCCGCGCTGCAGGTGGAGCCGGAGCCGGCGCCCGCGCAGGCCGCCCCGCCGCTGTGCCGGGGTGCGCCCCGGAGCCGCAAGGGAGCAGGCGGCCGGCTGGGGGGACGGGACACCCTGCGGGGCGCTCAGCTGCACGTTCGGGGTGCGGCTGGGTTCTCTGGCTGCCCAGGTGCTCGGGTCAGGGAACAGCCGGCCGCCGGGTGGGGCGCATAGCAGGGGCAGGGGGCGCTTAGCTTCCCCGTACCGGGAGGGCCGGGGGCTGGGGGGCTGCCGCCGAAGGGGCGTCCCCGGAGGAGAGGTTTGGGGCGGGAGTTGAGATGGGGGCAGATGGGCTGGAGCCGCGGGCGTCGGCGCCCTGCGGGACAGAACTCTGGATGGCCAAGCGCGGGGATCTCCCCTCGAGCTGCCCCCCTCCCGCAGGTGAACGGAAGAAGCCAGGCCAGGGGCAGGCCAAAGACGGGCTCCTCCGCATCCCCTTCCGCCTGTCCTGGCCTTTGGCCTTCCTCCCTCGGCCTCTCCCCCTCTTCCTCCCCTCCCCTTGGCCATCAGCGCAGCCCATGTCACAGCACCCAGTCCCTGGTGCACCCTTCGGTCCAGCTGCGCCTCCTGCCGGCTGACCCCTAGCCTGGGTCTCCAGGCCCCAGTGGGGGCTTCAAGGCTTCCACCGGGCCTCAGCGGGGGGCAAGGGCAGTGGGGGGGAGCAGGCTGCAAATTGCCTGGCCCGGGGTGGGGGGTGGGTCAGTGGGCCGAGGAGTTCCTGAGGGAGGTGGAGTCCGTCCGCCCTCCACGAGACCCTGTCATGCTCTTTGCTTCCCTCAGCCTTGGGGGACTCCAAGTAGACCCCCCAAAACTGTAGTAGGGGGCAAGAGAGCCCAAGGGTTCTGGGACAGAGAGGGAGGTTTGGGTAAGACAGGGCAGTGGGTGCCACCTGAGGTCTCTTGTGGGGAGAGGGAGGCAGTTTCCCTCCACAGAGGGCCCTAAGCGGACCGTGAGGGGTATGGGAGAGGGCTGCAGCTGGGAGGCCAGGGGGTGCACCAGGGGCTGCAGCTGGGAGGCCGGGGGGGGGGTGCGCCAGGGGCTGCAGCTGGGAGGCCGGGGGGGGGGGGCGCTGGCACCTGCTTGCTGAGCAGCCTAGGGCGAGCACTCTCACCTGTGCCGGCTGCGCCTTTTCTCCGTGGAGCCCATCCTCGCAACGAGGGGCAGGTGCAATGCAAGGACCAGGGACCCCGGGCTGTGCTGAGCCTGCACCATTTGTGCCCCCACAGGAGGGTGACCGACATCCCTGTCGCCTGTCACCAGCCACCGGGCACCTTCTCTCTCACACCAGCTCTGCTCCAAAGCTGGGCACCTCACACTCTCCCCCGGCCCTGCTCCTGCCTCCCTGGCTCGGGACAGCAAAATGACGGCAGCCTCACCTCTAGGGAGCGGGTGACCACAGGAGCTGCCTGCGGGAGGGAGCGGGGGGCTTGTGCCTAGTAGGGCCTGACCTCCCCCTCCCCCTCCACTGGCCACTGCCCCCCCCACAGGATCCCCTACCTCCTGCCAGCGTCAGCCCCACGCCCAGTGATTCCGTGGCTGGCCACCACCATCCAGCCCTTTGGTCAGCTTCTGGGCCAGGCTGGGCACCCAGGGTTGGTGGCCTCCAGCCTCACTGGGCCCCAAGGCTGGGCAGACCTCCCCCCAGCCCTGGACCCCGCTGGACAGTCTCCCTCATTCTCCTAACCCCGCCCCATCAGAGCCAAGGCCCCTGCCTCAGCCTCCTACCCACGCTCACACCCACCCGTTTTGTAATCTGCTGTTTCCTCCACGGCTGCCCCGGGGAAGTCCCTGCCGCCTCTCGTGGGAGCCAGAGCTCCAGATCCTGCCATCCCCCAGCCCGCAGTCCTCTCTGCCATGTTGGTTGAGCAGCCACCGTGTGCCAGCACCTTCCCGGTACGGGGGCAGACAGACCAGAAACCGCCTGGCCCCATGGGGCGAGCTGGACAGGACAGAGCAGACCGCAGCCCCCAGGGCACCATAAGCGAAGGGGAGAAAGTGGGTGCGGGTGCAGGTGCGTGGAGGGCGGGAGGCGACGAGGGGAGACACGTCACATCCCACAACACGAGCCCCCACTTGGGTCTCCTCCTCCACCGAGAGCCGTCCACTGGGGCGGCCACGTCTGCACCTGCTGTGCCCCGTCCTCACCCCACTCACTGGAGCCCTCCACGCGGCTTCTTACCACGCTCCCCCTCCTCCCCAGGAAGCAGCTCTGGTCTCCCGGGGCGGGTGTCACCTTGCTGGCCCTCTCTCCGCTCACCTCTCTGGGTCCCCCCGCCTCGGGCTGCTCCCCCTCCTGCTGTGTCCCTCGCAGCTGCAACAGTGTCCTCCCGCTCCCTCTCATGGTCCCTGCCATGCTGGTCTCTGGTGCCACTGACCCCACCCCTGCACGCGCGCGCGCGCACACACACACACACACACACAGGCTAAGTGGGTCTCCTGGCTGCACAGGACGTGTGCGGGTGAGGGCACTGCAGGCTGGGTCTGCCCCCTGACCCCCGTGGGGTGGTGTTGGAGGTGATTAGGGAGGGCTGGATGGGGTCATGAGGCAGGGCCCGGGTCACGGGGGCAGCGTCCTTGTGAGGAGAGGCCGGGACATTTGCACACACAGCAGGACAGTAGCCGCCCACCCCCCAGGAGCCAATCCACCCAGAGCCTGTCCAACCGCCTGAGCTGTGAGTAAGAGCTGCTGTGGTAAGTCCCGGCCCGTGGCGCTCCGTCCCAGCTGTGGTAAGCCCCGGCCCATGGCGCTCCATCCCAGCTGTGGGTAAGCCCCGGCCCATGGCGCTCCGTCCCAGCTGTGGGTAAGCCCCGGCCCGTGGCGCTCCGTCCCAGCTGTGGGTAAGCCCCGGCCCGTGGCGCTCCCCGTCCCAGCTGTGGTAAGCCCGGCCCGTGGCGCTCCCCGTCCCAGCTGTGGTAAGCCCCAGCCCGTGGCGCTCCGTCCCAGCTGTGGTGAACCCCGGCCCGTGGCGCTCCGTCCCAGCTGTGGTAAGCCCCGGCCCATGGCGCTCCGTCCCAGCTGTGGTTAAGCCCCAGCCCATGGCACTCCGTCCCAGCTGTGGGTAAGCCCCGGCCGTGGCGCTGCGTCCCAGCGGCCTGGGCTGAAGCTGGCCAGCGCTCAGCTTGCTGGACCACCATGGGGTGAGCTTACACAGCTGACCGCCAACCGCCTCCCGGGGCTCCCACACTGAAGCCCCACCCCCGGGCCGATGGGTGCAGGTGGTGGGGTCCTTGGCAGGGATGCAGTCCAGAGAGGGACCCTCGTGGTGGGACGGGTGCTCTGATGACAGCAGACACGTGAGGGCGCCGTCTCTCACTGGAGCTTCTCTCTGTGCGCAAGTCAGCAGCCAGGCACTGGCCTGGCGCCCTGTCTGCCGGCCCCGTGGTCTCGGCCATCCCAGCCTCCGCACTGCGAGGAAGCCACGTCCAGTGTGCAAGTCACACAGCCTGCGAGGGCCGAGCAGCCCGCGGCCCGCCCTCCCGCCCCTCACACTGTCCTGTCGCCAGCTTGGGGGCTTCGCCCACTCAGAGAATGAACGGTTTTCTCCTCTGACCTCTGGGCTCCACATGGTGTTTTTTTTATTTTTTTTAAGATTTATTTATGTATTTGAAAGGCAGAGTTACAGAGAGGCAGATGGAGTGGAGAGAGAGAGAAAGCGCTTCCATCAGCTGGTCCACTCCCCAAATGGCTGTGATGGCCAGGACTGGCTCAGACCGAAGCCAGGAGCTTCATCCTGGTCTCCCCCGCGGGTTCAGGGGCCCGAGCACTTGCGCCATCTGCAGCTGCCTTCCCAGGTGCATTAACAGAGAGCTGGATGAAGCGGAGCAGCCGGGACTTGATCCGGCACCCACATGGGATGCCGGTGCTGCAGGCGGTGGCTTAGCCTGCTGCCGCAGCGCCAGCCCAGCAACGTGGTGCTGCTCACACTTGTTCGTGTTACTGTGTGGGTATAACAGCACTGGATTCCCCTTCCATGGCTGAGTGATATTCCAGGCAGAACAGCTAGGCAATCCGTCCGCTGTCCGTGCCTTTTTAGGTCATCTTTTTCCAGTGGGAGGCTGTTAGGAGCCACGGCCCGGCTCGGCGTCGGCACGTTTGCCACGCTGCAGCCGCTAAAAGGCAGGGCCGTGGGTGCTCAGCTACAGAGAGGGATTCAGGAGCCTCCGCGGTGAGCTGGGCTCCCCTGTGCTGTCTGCCCCTCGCGCCCTCCTAGCCACGCCCCGCCCCCCCATCCAGCTGGCCTGGCTCTCGGCCTCCCTTCCCCAGCCGGCCTCTCACCTGCCCACACTAGCAGCTTCCGCACGCTAAATTCTGGGCTCGGAGGCCCCCACAAGATGCCCCGGGCAGCTCCAGCCCGTTGCTCGCGTGCCCCATTCATTCTTCCCGGGACGCTGGCCGTGTCCTGAGCACAGTGGACGCCCTTCTCCCCCCCAGGCTGTGCATTGGCACTCGCTGCTGCCCCGCCTGTGAGGCTGACCCCACGTCCCACCTGTGCTCCTGGACGCCAGCCTAAGCGTGCTGCTGCTGTCCTGAGCGACACTTAGCGCGGAATGGAACTGGGCGTTACACCATCTTGTGTAACGTTTAAATTCATAAAAGCATCCCACTGATGGCGCCATGTTGCACGTTTTTTTTTTTTTCTAAGCACTATTCGTTGTCCCCCAGCTCTAC